TCCTCAAACACATGAGCCTAAAATTAGCATAGGATGCAGCAATTCCATTCCTGGAGATATACGCCCCCAAATTTAAAACAGGCATGCAAAAAACACATGAACATGCAGGTTCACAGTAACGCTATTCAAAACAGCCAGAGGTGGAAGCAATCCAATTTTCTATCAACAGATAAGTGGATAAAAATAAGGTGGAATACCCATGTGATGGAATACTACACAGGCAGGAACAGGAATGCAACAAGGTGGATGAACTTTGAGGTCATTATTCTAAGTGAAATAGGCCAGACACAAAAGATTACATATGGTGTGATTCCCTCCATATGAAATGTTCAGAGCAAGCCAACCCAGAAAGACAGAAGGTAGATTAGGGGTTGTGAGGTAGATGGGAATGAGGAGTGACTTCTTAGTGGGTATAAAATTTCCTTTAGAACTTATGGAAATGTTTTGCAAGAAGATAAAGGTGGTAGTTTCACAATATTGTGAATTTACTTGATTCCACTGAATGGCATGCTTTAAAATGTTCAATTTTATGGATGTGAATCTCAATTCAATAAAGCTTTTTTAAATAAAAAAGAATGACACGTTTTGGACCACTGTAATAAAATATTCAAGTATTTTGAAAAAAAGGGAGCACATAATTTAAATGTATTTATTTAAAACAATACTAAGCCCATTGTTGCTTACATGTAAACAAGCTTTGTGAAAAAATTGTGATATTTTTTAAAACAAAGGATATTGAAAGTGTGGCACAGTTTTACATTTTTAAAAACCTATTCAATAGCCACAGGAACAAGAAAGATCTGAATTTTCTTACCTGCTTCTCCATTCCACCTCTTACAATCTGTTGTTTCAATGGAAGGGAACCAAGCAATCTGGATTCGCTGATACTGAGTACGGGAAAGGAAGCCATCACTGGTCCCCCAACAGGTTCTCAGGGACCACCTCCCACCCAGGGTTCCTGGAATGACCACTGGGCACTGCTGAAGCCCAGTGTTCTTCCATGACACTCTCAAATCAACCCACTGAGAGCAGAAACACTCTTCATTGATTTGACAAAAATGGAGAAGAAGCAACAGAGACCTTGGGGCACAGTGTGAAAGGCACACAGCTGAGGAGAGGCAGAGTCGAGACTCAAGCCCACATCTGTCTTTCAGAAAGCCTCTATGATTAAAAAGATCGACCATGAAAGCACCCCACTATTTGCCCTCCCTAGAAACTACATAGGCTAGATGATGGGTCTTGATACCTCTCTCCCTTCCCTCCACCCTGAGAACCTGTTGAAAACCTTCATCCAATTGGCACACAGTTACAGAAAAGTCCAGCTTGCCCTTCTCTTGTGGATTATATGCGGAATGGGAGGGCTCTGTCTTGCTCTAGAATCTGGGGTCCAGGGCTGTGCTGGGTCTGGCTGAAACCATCACCTCATGAGAGCTGGTTTGGGGCATCACTTGCCAAACCAGCATCCAGTGACATCATGTTGGCGGCTTGAAATTGGCCATGACGGGGCTATTTACATCGTGGAAATAGGAAATCCCTGGAAAGCAGAACTGCACTGTCCCCTCCCAAGGCCCTGTTTCCCAGTACATCATGGCCTATGGCTGACCACAGAAGGCCCTCCTGGAGCTCATTAAACAGAAGGAAGAGCTGCGTCACAGGGCAGCTCTGTCCCCTAAATGTGGATGACTATGAGAGAGGAGGTGTGTGCTGCGTGACCTCACAATAGAACACAGAGTTTCTCTGAGCATAGACTTCATTAGCAGTGTGGTCCTGCCACAGCCTGGGTTTCTGGTTTGCCTTCCTCTGACATCCATGTGCTTTGTCCTCATAACTTTTCTCCTCTCTGGGTCATTGTAAATTGACTGAGAGAACCTAGCACAAATGTACCTGGCCTCATGTGTCCTGGCAGGTTGAAAGGAGGCACTTAACAGGACCTGACCTCTGGGAGAGAGAGAGAGAGAGAGAGAGAGAGAGAGAGAGAGAGAGAGAGAGAGAGAGAGAGAGAGAGAAGGGGTGTGTGTGTGTGTGTGTGTGTGTACTCTCAAGGGAGAATAGAAGCTGTTATCTTTTTACTTTATTTCCTCCATAATCCACTTTGTGAAAACTCCCCTGCCCCCAATGCCTATTCTATGAGAACATTGGGTATTGTCTCTAATATTTCACTCATTCATCCATCAAACTGGCTGGGGTGTAAATGACTGAGCGAGAGATCAACGCTGTGCATCTGAGGATGTATTAGTATTTCCTGGTTTCCATAGAAAGCTAACATCAGGGAAAATGTTTTGATGACATTCTGGTTTCCATGAAAACTGGGGTAAGCCATTCTTTCCTGAAGGCAGAAACACTTAACAAGGATACTTACAGACTGGAGAGATGGAGTAACTGTAGAAACTCGACACTAGTCGGTGTCTGCTATCATTGTGAGTTTGTGCGCGTGTATGTGGTATGTTGTGCTGCAGTGTGTGGCCTTTGGCTGGACATTAAGAGCTCTGGTCCTTCTTGTTTTATAAGGAAGGATGGCAGCTTCTCCTGTGGGGGGCTGAGATGGTTGAATAGTCTTTCATACCCCAGCGCCACTTCAGTGTCCTGAGGTGGCCACTGTTGTGTGAGGTCATAGTCACTTGAGTCCTTGAAAGCGGAGATCCCCAAGTATTTCTCACTGCATACCTCTGCTTACAATGAGGTGCTGAACCCTTAACGATGTAAGTCTACTCAGTTACTCCTACTTATAGTGAAGTTATTATGTGTACAATTTGGTGGAGAAAATTTGAAGTCAGCAAATGAGACAAATGGGTGGGATTGGAAGATCCAATGTTACTTTGTGTAACCCAGGTAATGATACAGTGCTCACCCTGAGTAGCTGACAGACATGAACTAAGGAACATCTCTAAAAGACAAATTCTCTGTTGTCACATCACTAATTACGGTTAGGTGAACTGAATGCGAGTCAGTAAGTGGCTCCTCCTTTATTATGGTAGTGTAGATATGATCAAAGGTTCTGGGTTTTGGGGTTGTATGTTTGGAGTTGAATGCCGCTGGTGGTACAGTATTTGTGTGCTTATTGTGTTTCTAAAGAAAAAGACAGTTTTTATAGGACAACTGTTGCATTCTTCATCAGGGACATGCCTTCGGAAGAAGCAGGTTCTAGGTGAAGGAGAGCCACACCTCTCAGCTCCAGTCCTGCACGCTGCTGGATAGTACTGAGACCCAGCTGTATCAACCCCATTCTCCATCTACCATCTGACTGCCTGTGACGCTCAGTCAGTGGGGTCTCCAGAGGGTGACAAGAGGTCTGGAAATGAGACCACTGGCTGTACTTTCCTCTCTGTCCATGCTCCTTTCAGGCTCCCCCCAGTAGTGGCACCTCACCCAACGTGTGACTTCATCAGGGATAGTCGGTCCTTAAAGTGGATTTCCTCCAAACTCCAAGGGCCCTCTCCATCAGTACCTGCAGAAAGACCAGCGGCAGCAGACTGGTGAATTCTCTCCTAAGAGATCAGAGTCCCAGGCTGCCGGGGACCTCCTCTCAGATCCTGACACTGTGGCATGAGAGCTCCACAGTTTTCCCCATCCTGACTGGGAGGGGTCTCGGGTTTCATGGACCCTCCCCTGCCCTCCTTTAGGAGCTGCATAGTGCTGGGCAGCCCCCTTTCCTCAGAAGTCAGAGCCCAAGTTCTGAGGTCTCCTCCTCCCAGGAAGTCATGGGTTCTCAGCACCAGTGCATGTTCCCTGGGTGGTCTTTCCAGAATTACAAGTGCATGCTCTTCCTACCGTGGTGCCCCTCTTCTTGTGTCATTGCTCACTTTTTGCCTTTTTCTGGTCTCTGAATAATTCTATCAAGACCTATCTAATTAAAATAACGAGAGGACGCTGCCTAATAATCATGTTGTTTTTCTGTCTTTGCTTTTAAAGTCCTTCCTTTCACTTTGGTTTCTCGAAGTTTTATTGTATGAGTGTAGGCTTGCTTGTATGTGTGTTTCCATGTCTGTGTGCATATGTGTGTGTGTGTGTGTGAGAAGAGAGAGAGAAAGAAGAGAGAGGAGAAGACAGACAGGGGAGAGAGAGAGAGAATTATGCTTGTGCTTTGGCACATCAAATATACCATCTGATATTTTTCTTTGTTTTGGACAATTGTTCAGTATTGTTCCTTCACATGTTCTGCATCGGCTCTCTCTCTTCTTGGATGGCAATTGAGTATCTCTTGTGTGGTTAGGTACATACATTGCAATACTTTGACCAATACAAGATACACCTCAAAGACTTTTAAAACATTTCCAATACATCCTCACTGCATTCTGTGCAATGGTATGTTACCATTTTGCTCCATGTGCTTTCTTTTGGTTCACTTACATCCAATATTTCATATCATACCTCCTTAGCATCTCTTCAAAGTAAGGTTTGGGTGCACGCAGATGTATGAATGTGCTCTCCCTGTAGTGTTTAACAACATGACTTGAAAAATAACATTTACCTTCACCACCTACTTCCATCCTTGTTCTCTTTTTCCACCCATCCGTTTTTCTCTTCTCAATGGAACCATGTCATGACATTTCTGTTTACCCTTCTAGATTTTCTCCCTGCCGTTTACATGCTTTTTGTAACCTAAGATAAAATATGTGGTCTTGCTTTCCATGTGAATGTGGGCCTTATGTAAAGCATTTATTTGTCCTTAATTGGTCTCTAGCCAGACTTTTTTGCCTGAGTTTTTTCCATGTCAGTGCATGAGGGTCTTCATCAGTCTTTGTGCTCAATACATAACATGCCCTCCTTAGTCTTTGCCCCGTGGGTAGCAAGGGCCTGACCTAGGCCCACGGCTGTTGTGGTGACCTACAGGGTGATAACCTATCTTGTGATCAAGGGCACCTCTTTCTCCTTGTGCACCAGGAAAACCAATAGGTTCTGAAATACACATCTCGATCACTCTCCTGGATGTTAGTGATTACGGAGGTCTCACCTGCAGGAAGGGGGAGGCTGCCCTTGTCTTTCACCCCTAACAGCATGGGTGACTCCATTAGTGTTGTGGAGGATACTGGAGGTCTCCCTGTGGCAGGTAACAGGGACAGGAGGGGTAACAACATCTTGGAAGGAAAAGTTGGCCTGCTGGACGGGAGGAACCACCTGGGTTTGCAAAAGGAACGGGAGAGAATTCGAAGCAGTTTGTACTGCGGAAGTACAAACGTTCACAGTAAATTAAGATTTCAAGCCGAGAGGCTGAACGTAGTGCCCTATTAATGAGTTGGCTTTAAAAGTATTCTTGGTATTGGGGGCAGCATAATACATGAAAAATACAGTTGAGAAAAGCATAAAATTCCATCTAAATGTAAGGTATACAGAGGGTGGGAGTTGAATGAATGGGGAGATGGTCCTGTGCCCATTGCAGAATATGGATAGATGTCCAGAGGAGACCCCCTTGAGAAGTGGAAGACTCAAAATTAACCACCTCCAAATCCACTAATCTAGAATGAACCACTATGCTGCCCCTAAATCCACAAGCCAGCCCTATCAAAGCAACAGCTCAGCAGGCAAGGCTAGGACAGACTGCTTCCCATTCAAGACTGATTTCCAGTTTTCCCTCCACTTGGTGCCTACTTGCCATCTGCAAAGATAAAGTCTTTCCTGGGATCTGGTAAGCAGGCTGCTTCTTGGCCATGCTTTCAGGTCTGGACCTGCTGTGTTGCTTCTCTGCAAGGCCAGATATCATGGGGCAATTCTCTGTGGTGCTCAGGAGACCCTGGGAAGCACTTCTTCTGATTTGCTGTTCACTACCTAAGGAGAATGACATCGGGCCCAAGGAAAATGAAGGAAATTCGGTAAATTTTTTCTTGTTTCATCTTGTTTCTCACTCCTGTACCTCTGTGAGGAAGGGATGTTTCTCAGTCGGGCTCCAAAAAGGTTTTCAATATTAGAGCAATTGGTAGATAAGCTTGAGTGGCTGTTATCTTGATCACTACTCTCAACAACGTCCTTCTGAGAGTCAGTGCCCTCAGAAGTGGACTTTGCCAGGCAGGGGTGGTGGTGAACGATTCAGTAGCAGAAGCTGGGATGTTCTCAGTGAGCTCTCTGAAGCCTTGGCTGTGTTTCTTGGTTCTGTCTGGAGAAGCTGAGCCTCTTGGTAGGGGCCAGCTGCTGGGATTGCTCTCAAAAATGGTTCCCTCAGCAGCAGCAGTCACAGACCTTGAATAAACCTGTTGCTGATATTCAGGGTCTGCCAAAGCCTGAAAAGGGTGTCTGGGAGGCAGACGCTCCTTAGAACTGCTCCACTTTACAGGTGCACTTGCTGAGCCTGTTGAGGAAATCTGTGGCTGGAAGTTAGCCCCATCCCTGGCTTGGAAAGGGTCTTTGGAAGGCAGCTGCTCTTCAGAACTCCTCCACTCTTTAGGAGAGCTATCAGAAAGTGAGGGGGCTTCTTGCTTATACTCATGCTTCCCCAGGGCCTGGGAAAGGTGTCTGGGAGGCAGTTACTCTTCAGATCTCCTCCGCTTCACAGGAGCACTCTCTGACTGTGAGAAGACTTTTTGCGGGCCTTCAGGCCACTGCAGGGACTGGGAAGGGCATTTTGTAGGCAGCAGCTTCAAAGAAATGCCTCCCTCCATACTGGCACTCTCCCCACCTGCAAAAACTCGGTGCTCAGCTTTAGGCTTGGACAAAGATTTGGGAGGTTGATTTGAAGACAGAGGATCTACATAAGTTCCTCCCTCAGTATCAGGTTTCTCTTAGATCTGTTGTGCCATAGACTTCATGAACGACTGGGAAGGAGCCCTGGAAACTAGCAGTTTCTTAGGCATGCCTCTTTCCGCAGCAGTGTTCTCTAGACATGAGGACATTTCCTGAACCTTAGGCCCCATTGAGAGCTGGATAGGACATTTGGGAAGAGGTGGCTTCCCAGAAACGCCCACCTCAACGGCAGCACTCTAAAAACTTGAGCACAGTTGCTGGACTTTAACAGTGGTTAGGGAAAGCTCTTTAGAAGCACCCTCCTCAATGGCGACACTCGCTGGACCTGCAGAGGTTGGTTGGTGGACTACTGGTTCTGTCCGTGACTGGGAGGCCTCTGCTCCATAGAAATGCTCCTCTCAGCCGCGGTACTCTCTGGACCCACAAAGGCTAGGCACTCAAAGTGGCAGCTCCCCCAGGACTGGAAAGCATATGTGCGAGGCCTGCACTCCACAGGACCATGCCATTCTGCAGGAGCACTCACTGGACATGAATAGACTCCCTGCTTGGCTACTGGTCTCATGAGGGGCTGAGAAGACTCTCTGGGTGGCAGCGGTTCCACAGAAATGCATCACTCCATGGTGGCACTCTCTGAACCTACGGAGACTTGTTGCTCCAATGTAGGGCTCTCCCAGGCCTGGAAAGGGCATCTAGGAGGCTGCACCTCCACAGAAACGCTCTCCTCAGCCTTGGCATTCTCTGGAGCAGCAGAGGCTTGTTGCTCGACTTTGGGGCTCACCCAGGGCTGGAAGGTGTATCTGGGATGCACTGGCTCCACAGGACCACTCCATATGGCTGAAGCACTCACTGACTCAAGGGTCCTAGTCTGTGGCTGGAATTTAGGCCTAACCAAGGGTTGGGAAGGGCATCTGGGAGCCAGCTGCTCATCAGAACTCAATTCCACAAAACATTTTGATTTTGTGAGGACTTCTTGACCATCTTCAGGCTTCACCAAGGACTGAAAAGAGTCCCTGGGAGCTGCATCCTCTTCTGATGCACTCTCTGAACCTGAGGAGACTTCTTGTTCCTCTCCAGGGTCCTCCAAGTACTGGAAAGAGTCTCTGGGAGCCAGCTGCTGCTCAGAAACACTCCCTGCCTCTGACGTGCTCTCTGAACCTGAGGAGACTTCTTCAGCTTTGGACTTTCCCAAAGACCGAGAAAGGCTTCTAGGAGGCAGCCTCTCTGCAGAAATGTCTCCCTCCGCCAAAACATTTGCCATACCTGAAATGCTTGCAGTAAAGTCTTGGAGAACATGTCCAGGAGGCTGTTCTTTGCAGCCAGTTGGGATGTCTTAAACCGACTCCACTTTCAACTGGACACTTGGTGAATCAAGGCAGGAAGCTCCTTCCTCTTCTGCCTGACTACAAGAAGGATCCATAAACCCCTGAGCCCCCACTGCCACCAGGAAAATGACATCTTCCTGGGTTGTAGAAGGGCTTTCCACCACTGGTAAAAGAGAAGTTCTGGCTTCTGTCTTCTCGGCCCCAGAAGCCCCATCTTCGTGGTATGGTGATGGGCCACTAGCCAGAGATTCTTCTATGTCTGCAGGTATGGCTTGTGATGCTGATGCTTTTCTGGCTTCAGAATTAGTACCAGCATCTCTCCTTCCCATGTTATCTTTATCTGAAAGCAAATTCTGGGGAACAGCGGTTTCTGTTTGTGGAGTTGTGGGCTGCCCTACAACTTGCTCCTCCAAGGGCTGGTGACAGAAAAAGCACTTCTGGGCAGTCTTTTCAGAAGATAGGGACCCAGCTCCCTCAACCAGGCCAACCCCTGGGCTGCACTGCTTAAAACTCCTTCCGCTGGCCACTTATTCCTGAAGTGCTCCATCCTTTCCTTCCACGTCGTTTTCTGTATGTTGCACAGAGTGGGTAGCCCCGGCTGCCGGCAGCATCTGTGCTTGCAGCCTGAGCTGTTGTCTTCTTATCACAAATCTCAGTTTTGTTGTTCTCCTCGGGGCTTGAAGGACCTATACCAAATAGAAATAAGGAAGTTTGTGCTTTTGACTTCCTAAAATAAGAATACTCTGTCCTGGCCCAAAGAGTACCAGTTTGCTCTCAAATTCTCTAGTACATTGAAGTAGCTGTTCAGAAGCTAGAACTTGGTCACCATTAGCCTTCTGCAGCTGGATATTCTTAAATCAAAGTAAAATCCCAGCTGTATGAACTGATTCCAAGGTTGGCTCATCACCATTGTTATCAATGGTCTGGTCCACAGTTAGATGTGAGACATGTCAAAAGGCACTTTCTGAACTTGTAATGATTACCTTTTAGGAAACTGACTGGGGCAGGGTAAAGGGAAATTTTGCTTTCTACTTCATATGTATAATTTTCTACTTCACTCTACTTAATTTTCATATGTGCAGAAATTTTTTATTTGTTAGAAAAATGTCAACAGGGGTTATCTGGGAGGTAGGGACCCAGATATATCTGGGCTATCTGGAACCCCTTTTCTTCTGCCTTTTACTCTCTTGTATTAAAATAATCTGATGAAATACACATGCAAAGCCATTCTTGGAAGGCCTTAACAATTGCCATCAGTCTATGGCCTTCATTCAGGTCAAGCACAAGGCAGCAGTTGTACAGATAGCTCCTCTTCTCTCTAGTACTTTTACTAAGGAACTCAGTTTGATCCCAGGTGGGAGGGCCCTCGCTGCCTTTCCTCCCTTATCCATCCACTGCACCCCTAACTCCACCTAGTGGTTTCATATCCAGCATTCAGCACTGAGTATAGCTGCCTGCACCCCAAACCACTCCCATTATATGGAAAACCAATCAAAGTATCTGAACCAGTCTTATCATCTGTCCAAAAAAGGGACAACTATTAAAAGTAAATATGAAAAAATATTAAGTAAATTAGTATTATCCATTTCCTTCCTTCCTTCCTTCCTTCCTTCCTTCCCTCCTTCCTTCCTTCCTTCGTTCCTTCATTCCTTTCTTTTTACAGAACAGTTGTGTGGTTTGGTTAGATTTCATAGAAAACTGTATTTAGGGATATCCGGTCTTTGGACCCATGTGAGAAATCCTTTGTGGGCAAAAACGTGAAGTAACTATTCGATTTAATGTGTGGAACACAGGAATTTTGTTTTATCATGTATTGCTTGGAATTAGGTTGCCATCAGCTGGAGCCAACATCCGCATCCACACATGCACGTGCACATGCACAGATTTTTGTTCCAGTGGTATTTGTGACTTAGGGATTGGATGCTGTCGGCTGCCAAGGACAACTATCTGCAGCTGCCCAAGTCCTCTTTGTCCATGGGTATGGGAACTGGTCTCGCTGTAACACAAGACCTTTCCTCTCTACTCGAAGAAAAAAAGCAACTATAAAAAAACTAGCTTTGGCCAATTCTGTTATTATAGTCTGGTTCTGTTGCTAAGGGACAATGTTGAAGGGGAAATCCCTGGCTGTGCTCAAATATGTGGGCTCATTGAGGAGCTCAGCATATACATTAGCCTTAAAGAGGATCGAAGAAACTTAAAACCAGACAAGCACAAAAATCTCTATCTGATTGGGAATTCAGTTAGGAAAAACAGGGGCCCGGGTGTGAGTGATCCTTTTCCCAAATCCCACACAAGTGGCGATTGTATAAAATAGGCAGTTTATATGGAGAAACCTGGACCACGTTAGTGTGCATCTTCAACTGAAAGCTCCCTGAAGACCAAAGACAGCAGGCCTGGGTAATTCTCCTTATACAGCTCCTATCACACAGCACTGTGCAATTAGCTCCTAATAACGTGTTTCTGGAGGAGGGTGCAGCTGTGCCAACCTGCGCTGTCTATTTTCAGCTTCTTTTGGTTTGTTTGTACTCTTCTTTTCTTCAGTTCCCCCTGCTTTGGTTCCACCTGAAAGAGGAAAAGAAAGCGCTTGAATCAGCAGACTGACGTGCTCTCCACCCAGCCCTGCAAGGTTGTCAAAGAGAAAAGCACCAGCAAAAAAGTCCTTGATATCCAAATGGCTGCACTGGGAGCATAACAGTACCATTAACGATGACAGTTATTTCCGAAGGCATCCATCACCTGGTGATCATTTCATCTACTGGAAGTGGTTCACCTAGATTTGAAGTTGCTGATCTCTGAGTGATTTGCTACAGGGACTCTCGGAAACACCCTGAAAGCCAGTGAACCACACTGCAAGCTCATAAACCTGAAATTGGGGTTGTTAGGCCTGACAGCAGTCATGTTCTTGGCAGCGCTGGAATTCCTAAACTTGCTTCACTAGACTTGGGAGCTGAACTCAAATCCTGTTTGGCTTCTTTGCAGGGATTCTAGTGGAAGCATGAATTACGCCTTTCCAGCTCAAAAGGAGAAAGACAGTGGGGTTTTGGCAGGGGTTGGGGACAGAGAGAAAAAGATGAAGGATTCAGCCTTTACATTGAAAGGGTTGAAAGTGGTTTAGTGTAAACAAGGTTTGCAGATCATTACAGTGCAGCTTTGGAAATGTCAGAGTAGCACTGGACTGAATAGTGTCCAGAATGTGCTCATGCAAGCCTTATGACATGCATCCAAAGGTAAATATACAACTCTTTATGTCACACATTGGTGTGGATAAAATGAGAGTTCCTGTGGCCAGGATTCTCACCTGGCCCTGGTTGACTAGCTCACTGCACACCTGTGGGAAATACATGACTGTTGACTCTATATAAAGAGCTCTGCCCAGTGGTCTAGGCATGACATGGTGGCAGGGCTACAAGGCTGTAGGAGAGCAGAGCAGAGGCTGGAGTGGTGGCAGTGCCGAGGACAGAGGCCCAGAGGCCCAGAGGACGGCTGTGCAGACAGAGGGGCCTAGAGGCAAGGGGAGAGACCAGTTCCTGCATGCAGACTCGCTCTGAGTGAACGAGATTTTAGTGACTGACCTGCCACCTGGAAATAAAGTTGGGTATAACCCTTTCACCCCAAGAACGTTTTGCTCTCAATTTTTTTGGTCACATTGAATCCATAGTGAACTTGCCTGGGGCTGAAACCCATTGGCAAGACAATTGGTTTCAAGTATACAGCGTAGTGATTCAACAGGTATGTACATTATTTTTTTTATTTTGTTATCATTAATCTACAATTACATGCAGAACATTATGTTTACTAGGCTCCCCCTTCACCAAGTCCCCCCCACAATCACCATTACAGTCACTGTCCATCAGCGTAGTAAGATGCTATAGAATCACTACTTGTCTTCTCTGTGTTGTACAGCCCTCCCCATGCCCCCCCCACATTATACATGCTAATCGTGATGCCCCTTTCTTTTTCCCCACCCTTATCCCTCCCTTCCCACCCATCGTCCCCAGTCCCTTTCCCTTTGGTAACTGTTAGTCCATTCTTGGGTATGGACATTATTAAATCCTTCCCCCAACTCGTGAGGTTACTATCTGTGAACATAGAAATGTTACAGAACTATGGACTATATTTGCCATGCTGCACTTCCTTTCCCATGACTAATTTCCATTACAATTGAGATTTTGTGCCTCTTTATTCCCGGCACCTATTTCTCCCACCCTCCCCAACCCACCCTCCAGTCACTTCTCAGTGTCTCTGGGTCTACTGCTGTTTTGTTGGTTTTGTTTTGCTTTTGTCTTAGATTCTATATGTAAGTCAGTCATGTGGTATTTGTCTTTCTCAACCTGGCTTATTTCACTTAGCATGGTACCCTCTAGGTCTACCCATGTTGTTGCAAATGGCAGGATTCCTTTCTTTTTTGTGGCTGAATAATATTCCATTGTGTGTGTGTGCCTCTTCTTCTTTATCCATTCATCTGTTGATGGACACTTTGGTTGCTTCCATACTGTGGCTACTGTAAATAATGCAGCAGTAAGCATAGGGGTGCATATATCTTTTCCAATCAGAGTCAAAATGATTTATTTTTCAAGTGAATGAGGTCAGATAGATCTGGGTTCAAATCCCTGCTCCATCACTCGCTCGCCATGTGACCTTGGGCAAGTTATTCTCTCATTCTCCACATCCACATTTATAAATTAGGGATAAGGTGGAATCTCCTAGGACTTGCAGACCTAAGAAAATCCAAAGCAGGGACCAAGTGGCAGCAGCCCATGTCACAAATGATTCTGGACCCTTTTCTATTCATCCGTGTGTCAGAGAGATAGTCACAATGTGAACAAAAGTGATTAAAAGATTGTCAAAAAATTAAAATTCGAAGTAATCCTCATAAATTGATTAGTGCTAATAAACAAATTAACCAAGTTGAGAGAGACGCAAGATCAACACATGTAAATCAGTTGCATTTCTATGTACTGGGATTGAACAATCCAAAAAAGGCAGTTAAGAAAACACACCCATTCACAATAGCATCAAAAGGAATAAAATACTTGCAAATAAATTTAATCAAGGAGGTGCAAGACTTGCACACTGTAAACTACAAAACATCACTGAGAGGAATTAAAGACCTAATTTAAAGACCTAAATTGAAGAAATATATGGAAAGACAGTCCATGTTCATGTATTGGAAAATCTAACGCTAAAATATGACACTCCACAGTGATCTACACATACAATGAAATCCCTAGCAAAATACCAATGTGCGTCAAGAAGATATGGAAAAACTGATTGTAAAATCCATATGGAATTGCAAGGGACCCCAAATAGCCAAAACAATCTTGGAAAAGAAGACCAAATTGGTGGGCTCACACTTCCTGATTTCAAACCCTATTGCAGAGCTACAGTCATCAGAGCAGTGTAGTACTGGTGTAAGAACAGACATATATAGATCAGTGGAATAAAACAGAGCATCCAGAAATAAATCCACAGATGGCTAGTTGATTTACAACAAGGATGACAAGACCATTAAACGGAGGAAAGTCTTTGCAACAAATGGGGCTGGAATAACTGGATAGTGATTTGCAAAAGAATGGACTTAGACCCTTGCCTCACAGCATATATGCAAATTAACTCAAAAGGGATCAAAGGCCTAAATATAAGAGCTAAGACATTTAGAAGAATACATAGGGATAAGTGCTCATGTTCTTATATTTGGTTCCTTAGGTATGACACTAAAAGCACAAGTACCAAAAGAAAAAAATCAATAAATTGGACTTCACCAAAATTTTAAAAATTTCCTTCAGTTTTGTTCTCTTGCTAGAGTTTAAAGACAACCAACCAAATGGAGAAAACATCTATAAATCATGTATCTGATAAGGATCTGGCATCTGGAATATATAAAGAACTCTTACAGCTCAACAAAATAAACCCAAACAACTCAATTTAAAAGGGTGCAGAGGACTTGAACAGACATTTCTCCAAAGAAAATATGGCCAAAGAGCACATGCAAAGATGCTTTAATATCATTAGTCACTAGGGAAGTGCAAATCAAAACCACGGTGAGATGCCACTTCACACCTACCAGAATGACAACGTTTTCTAAAAGTAGAAAACAACAAATGTTGGCCAGGATGTGGATATACTGGAACCCTCATACATAGCTGGTGGGAATGTAAAAGGGAGTAGCTGCTGGGGAAAACAGTTTGGTGGTTCCTCAGAGAGCTAAACATAGAATTACCATATGACCCAGCAATTCCACTCCCAGGTATACACCCAAAAGAATCGAAAACAGGTGCTCAAACAAAGACTTGTATATGAATGTCCACAGCAGCACTTTTCACAATAGCCAATAGGTGGATAGGACCCAAATGCCCATCAATGGACGAATAGTTAAGCCAATGATGGTACATCCTACAATGGAGTATTATTCAGCCATTAGAAAGGATTGGAGTACTGATATGTGCTACAATGCAGATGAACTTCAAAAACATTTTTTAAGTGAAAGGCAGACCCAAAAGGCCACAGAGTACTTGATTATATGTGTATGAAGTACCCAGAATAGGCAAATCCAGCAGTAGAAAGCGGATTAGTGGTTGCCAAGGGCTGAGAGGTGGTAGGAATAATGAGTGATTCCTTAATGGGTATGGGGATTCTGTCTGTGGGAACCAAAACTGTTTCTGGAACTAGGTAGTAGTGATGGTTGCACAACACTGTGAATGTACCTAAGGCCACTGAACGTTACGTTATATGTATCTTACAACAGTGAAAAGCACTATCTAATTCAATCCTTCCACCAACTCAGATTCTGTCCTAATTCATCCTACTTAGTGGTATCCTGCAGAAAATACTTGGTCATAGCCTAAATCCATAAACCAGTGAGCATCGGTAGCCACCCACCACCAGCCTGTGCTTTAACTTTGGTGCTAACCTAATTGCTTTCGTTTTTGGCTGACATACCTAACTGAAGGCCGCTTCCCTCCATAGGATCTTTTAACATCAAAACAGAGCTTTGTGCTCACTGGCTAATTATCTTCATTATCAACTGCTTTTGTTTAATTTTTAGTTCCCAAGGTTAATTGTTCCAGTCTGTGCTTTACTCTAAAAGCCCTCTCAGTATTCAACAGCAACCCATCAGATTAACCACACATTAGTTTGAGAATGGACGTGTTATTCTGGGGGACAATCTACTAGTTTTCCAGTTGCTGATGGGTGTTATTTGGTTGACAAACCTACATGTACGAAATACACATACATGCCCTCTCATGTGTCAAGTCATTTTTCATGTGGGTAGATGTCTAGCCAACGATACTACACACCTTAACTTGTGCTCAAGCAGAGACCTTTGAGATTTTGGCGTTTGAAACTGCAGAGGCTTTATTCCCATGAAAGTCTCTGCTCTTTTCTTCCTGAAATAACGGAAAACATCTGCAGATGACTATTTTTTTGTGAAATACCCTCTTCTATGGTTTATAAATGAAATTGCTGATTATTCGGTGTGTAAAATGGGACACAGCCTGTAAACTGCTATGCAAATCAAAAGGCAAGAATGGCAGGTCCTTCCCCTATTATGGAGCGATATCAGGAGAAAAAGAGAGTGCGAAAAGAAATTACACCTCTAACCTGTGCCACTTAGGACGCAGCTAACACTCACCTTCTTCACAGTTGAGAACTTGTGTGGTGAAGCCTTCTTTTGTGGGCTCTTCCGTGACTTATCACCAATTGAGAGTTCTTCAAAATCCTTGGAGACTGAATCAGATCAGATACGAGGCGGGCTGATGCTAGGTGGGCGTGGGCGCCATGGTGGGATCTGTCAAGGAGAAGGACAGAAGGAAAATGTTAAAACTCGTGTGCTTTCCTCCAAATTACTGGTGTTCTCTTGTTGCTTTAATGGTCGAAGGACTAGGAATCCGAAGTGAAAAAATCTGAAGGGAGGAAAGACTCTCCTACCTCCCTGCCTTCCCTTCTAGTACCTACTCAAACCAAAGACCAACAGCCTTGTTTCACACTTTGGGCTGCTGCACACCTTTGCCAATCCCCAAAGACAGAAACTTCAGATTGTTTGTTTGATTAGAGCCAGGTTTCTGGTGTTACTCCCTGCTGGTGTTAACTATATGTCTTCCTTGAGTCTGATCTTTATTTTGATTTTGGCTCTGCCTTTAAAAGTCTTTGGGTTCTGATCTGGGTGTGGCATCCAAAGTACAATCCTTGCTCCTGTCATTACAGGAATTGGCTGGATCAGGTCTTGTCTAACCAACTGTGCTGGTTGCTTATCTTAATCCTGTTCAGACCGATTTTCTTGGATTTTTAGAAAATCTGCAGAACTAGTCCTGGTTAGAACTGCTTTACTAGTCCTGAAGGGATGAAACTGATCATCTGCATTTTCCTTCAGCTTCAGTAGACTAATTTAGTTCATTCCCGTGGGAAGCTCATGGTACACTTGAATTTGAGGCACTAGTACCTGCCCTGGTCCTCTTGGTGAAGATCAGAATCCCTGATTTGATCTTTAACTAGTACTAGTTAACCATCTACAATCTGCCACCTCATTCTTGGCACTGGGCCTACAGCACTGAACAAAACAAAGTCCGTGCTGTCATGGAGCTCACGTGTTTGCTCCTGTCATAGGCTCTGCTCCTCCTCAGGACAGATGGCCTTCAAACTCTCAGAGCCAACAACCAGAGGCCGCAATGAGGATTTGCCAAGGTTCTGCCCCTGGGGTACCCCTGGCCAGTGTCTAAGGAGCCCCCTTAGTACTACTAAGCACCACTGGGGGCTCTTGAGAAGAGGCCCTGGGGATTCAGCATCCCCAAAGCCAATTCTAATACTAATAGCTACAGTACTGCCAACTGAGTGACTGAAGGCTTCACTCTGTTTTAATCTGTATTATGTCCTTCCTCATGCTACCTTTGGGTTTAGTTTGCTCTTCTCTTTCTAGTTCCCTATGGTGGAGAGTTAGGTGATTGATTTGAAATCTTTCTCCCTGCCAAGCAGGGAGTGCTCTCCATAGATACATTTCATTTGGACCTTACAGCAATTCGTTGAAGCATTTGATCTTGGGGTCTACATGTCACAGAGGGGAGAAACTGTGTCTGACAGATGACATGACTGTCCCTAATTGTCACAGTGACAGAGCAAGCATTGGAAAGGTCTGCTTGTCCTTATAGCCTATGTGCTTTTTAAGTATTTCTCTCCTCACGTAAGCACCTCATCAACAACCTGTTCTTTAATCCTCACCTCACCTCTCTGCTCTCTCAGTAAAACATGTCGGGGTGAAGAAATAACAGATTTGGAGTCTGAAGACTGTTAGACTATCTCTTAGGAAGGGGTCCCAGGTACCTTCAGCAGATGCCTCTGAAGAACATCTGAAGTATCTGAAGGGCTGTCATTTAGGCTACCTGTGTGTTCCTGCAGCATAGGACTTGGCCAATCAGTAGGAGCTCCAGGAAGCAGATTTGAAATGTCCTAACAGCTGCCTCATAAGACAGCACTTGTCCCAGAGATTTCAAGAGCTTGCTTGAGCACTGGCTCCTGAGTGGTTTAAAAATATATATGGATACTTGGGCCCTATTCCAGAGCCACAGTCTCAGATTCCAAGAGCTGCAGGCAAGAGATCACAGAAAATTGTGTGAGAGAACAGATACTCAAGGCCATTCTCTCATACTTACTAAAAGAGTTGCTAGAACTCAGAGCTTTGCTTTTCTCACTGCTAAAATGGGGCTAATGACACCAACTCTACAGAGTTGCTAGAAGAAGTGATCCTCAGTTCTATGTGCTCAACAAGTGTTCATTTTTTAAATAGCTAACTCAGTCAATGGAATTCACATTTAGGCACTACTAGAATAAGTCAGAAGCCTGACGACACCTGTAGATTTAACAAGGGCCCCCAAGAAAAGTGGTCCTATATCTGTCTAACTCAATAGCAGCTAAAGAGTGGATTTTTCTTTCTTTTTTCCAATTCATGTTTGTTTATTTTCCAATTTGTCACATCTCTTCACTTTATTTTTATTTAAAAAGTTTTTTACATTGAGGTACTTTATAGCACATGTTCTTAAACATTGTGCATGCCTGTCTCCTAACTACAAGGTCCAGGAAGTGGATGCCCCATAGTCAAGTCCAGGAAGTTTAAAGGCAACCACCAGACGAGATGGTGTGCCTGCTTCCTTAAGAAGAGCTGCAAAGGGGCAGTCGGGCCTGTGATCAGTGAGAAAAACTCCTTTGCCTCGGTTTCTTCAGTTACTGAATTCACTTTGATTCAACAAAATGCTAAGAATCTGCTATTACGTCTTTGTATCTACTTGTCCTCAAATAGAACATGAAATTCCGTGGAGAGTAATCTAGGCGCCTACACCCCTAACACTTGCAATAGGACATCAGATCAAAGTTTGGCAGTGGTAAAAACTGCTTCAGTCTTGGCACTTCTAATAGAAAATTTATCCTGGATTTCTGCTCCCGCAGTCTCCCAGTTGCTCCGAATGTCATTTAATCCGTTAAGAATCCTGTCCTTTCAAGGGACCCAACCATTGGCCAATTCCATATGTGCCCAGGTTGTGTGCAGCTCTGGGTATCAGGACCCTTGACTTAATGCTGTCAACTACCCTGTTATTTAGGGTTGTCACTTTGGCACTTAAAGTTTCCCATGTGAAGATTAATCTGTTGTTGATGATTCAGGTTCTGCTAACACCCAACACTCTCTTCAGCCCTGTTTCCCAGGGGAGGGAATAATGGAGCAGGCCAAAGGTGTGAGGTATGGGCCCAAAGCAGACGTTGAAGAAAACTGGCCCCTAGGCTATTGTAGCTTTCCCCATCCCCTTCATTGTGAGAGGAAGTGCCCCTAGAATCTTTACCTTTAATTTTCGCCAAAAAAATAGCCTTAAAAAAAATAGGACTGTGCTGTAAGAATATCTCTGTTGCTGGGACTAAGATAGGAGGAAATGAGGGAGGAGTCCAGGAAACACGTTTCCCCTTTCTGAAAATAAGAAATAACCCTGTGCACGTGGTCATGTGTACCTGGATTTTTGCCACTAGGTGGCAAGGGAGTATAGCTGTGGAGACAAGTGACAACTGGACTTGATGCTTAAAATCGAAGACTGAAAAGTTCACAGAAATGACTTTTCTTGCTGTGGTGCAAGAGGGCAGAGAATGCTGACCTAGGGGCTGCTTTAAAACCGTAAGGTCACCACTGCTGGTGACCGTCTCAGTGTTCACTTCTCCACCCTTCGTGGCTACTGTACCCAGAAGAACTTCCACACACAGTACAGAAACTAGAGTAAGAGATGTGGTCTGAAGCAGTCATGTCAGAAATAAGTGCCAATTACGTTTTGCTAAGGGCAAAATAGTCAGCTCCCCAGTGGAGAAAGGGTCTCCTCCTTATGTGGCCTTCCCAGTTGCACAGGGATCTTTGGGTATAATCCCACCCACAGACTGAAAGGAGGAAAGTAGCCACTAAGGGTTATCTCCCTGGCAGTATCTCCAGGTCCCCGTGGAGCTTTCCTAGATCAGAGCTCCAGGAGAGTCTAACTGAGCAATGGTTAAGAGTAGCTGGAGGTAAGAGACTGTCCGATGTACACACTATATTTTACGGAGACCGAAAGGATACCCTTCTCCCTGTTGAGGCAGGTACGAAGAAGTTGAGCATCTTACAGACTGCAATAATGGAAAAGCCGTGGGCTTTGAGGTCAGACAACACATCTGGGTCAGATTTCCAGGGTCTACCACTTGGTATCTGGATGAGCTCAAGCCATTTCTTTAATGTCTCTGAGTCTTTATTTAATCCTCACAAGAAACCCTTTGAAGTAGATATGAATATTATGGCCACTGTAGATGGGAAAGGAAGATTCAAAGAGAGTAAGCAATCAACTCAAGGTCACAGAGCCAGTAAGTAGCAGAGAAACAATTCAAGCACAGGTTTGTGTTGTCTGACTCAGCTGCCATACTTTGAACAATACCACTCTGTTACTCCAGAGAACTTGGAGCCTGCAATCCAGATTCCACTTCCAGGCACGTATCGGGTCATAGCTCCAGGTGCTCTACTAGTCTCAGCTGCAGACCAAGTTCTGGAAAGATGAGATCTCTGTAGAAGAAGAAAAAAACATGGGAGTTGGAATGCCTGCACATTAACAGTGGAATATCAGTGTCATAATATTTAAAGCTTTTTTGGGGTGTGTCAAGAGAAGTGAATATGGTAACACTGGCCAAAACTATATGCTGGACACTAGATTAGCACATCATATATTCATACATTCCCTTATCTAATGTTTATAAGAGCCCTGTCAGGTGGAATCAGCTGAGAAGCAGAGCCAAATCCCTCCACCTTGTCTTCTAGCAGGGTAGGAGTAGGGAATGGAAGTGGAGTAGTCCATTTACGCTCTGACGCTGGAGTTCTCTGTTACCTGCAGAGGCCTGCCTCTCTGGGGCTTCAGAGAGGAGTGTATTTTACTTGCTGATCTTTCAGGCTGAGGCTCCACCATGAAGAAGCTGTCAGAGGACAGGACTCTGTTCCCCATGCTGCTCTTGGGCCTGGATAGGAAGGAAAAGGTCTTATAAAAGCAGCCAAGGGCCATAGGAACCAAAGACACATGTATAATCCATAGTATGACCGACCATAGACATTCCAGAAGGAGGGCAGGGATGCATATGCGCTGGCATAGAAAGTTGTCCAAGACATAGTAAATGATAAAATAAAGAATGGTATGGTCCATATATACATGCATATTACATACGTACACAGTTTACATCCATAGAAAAAAGTCTGGAGGGATAACCACCAAATTGTTAGTGGTGGTTCTCTCTGAAGAATGGCACTAGGGACAGAATGGGGGCTTTCATTTTCCACTTTGTGTACTTCTGTAGGATTTTAATTTTTTAAATTATCAACACATCTTTTTTATATAATAGTTTCACCGAGGTATGGCTTACATACCATACAATTCACCCATTTAACTTGTACAATTCAATAATGGCAACCCTGCAGAATGGGAGGGAATGCCCTTGAGTCTTCCTATTATTAAGGTGAGAGTCATAAAATATCTTTCACACCCAAATTTCTCTCTAGTGTCTTTGTTCTGATTTACAATATCAACTATATGCCCAGATCCTGGAGACCTTCACTCACCAGGTCCTTTCCTCTTTCACGCAAGGATTCTGTGATATATCTGTCCTAATTTCAAAATCATCTTATGCACCCATCCCACTCCACCCCCAACCCCAGCTTGGTAAACACAGATGGAAATACCTTCTGGTCGGGAATGGAGCCAGGTTGATGACAATCAATTAAGACAAATCAGGGGAAAGTTAGAAACAAACGAAAGGCTAGAAACACAAAAGACTCCTTTGAGGATGTGGCAATATATGTTACCTTTCAAAAACATCAACCAAACATGTCACAAGAAAAGAAACTTACAGACCAGGGTCTCATACGAATATAAATACAAAGTTCTTCAATAAAATACTAGCAATCCAAACCCAGCAATGTATAAAAAGAATTATATGCTATGGCCAAGTAGGACTTGCAAGAAATGGTAGGTTACTGCAACATATGAAAATCAATTAATGTAACATACCATATCAATAAAGACAAAAACCACATGGTCATTTCAATAGATGCAGAAAAAGCACTTGTAACATCTAACATCCTCTCTGATAAACACACTCAACCTTGACAGAGGACATCTCTGACACACCAAAGCTAATATCATACTTAATGATGAAAAACTGGATGCTTTCTCCCTCAGATTAGGACCAAGACAAGGATGTATGCTCTTGCCACTTTTATTCAACATTGTGCTGAGGGTGCTAACCAAAGAAATTAGGTAAGAAAATGAAATAGAAGGCATCCCTTTGAACAGGAAAAAGTGAAATTATCTCTAATCACAGATGATATGATCTTCTGTATAAAACTGAAAGAATCCATTAAAAACTACTAGAACTGGAGGGGATTAAAGATGGCAGCATGAGAGGTACAATAGAAACCTCCTCCCAAAACCACATATAATATAGCAAATTCATCAAATCCTGAAAAAGCAACAGGAAAGATGGCTATGGCAGACTGTCTACACCTCAGGAAACCAGCAGACCTCAAGAAAGGGTAATGTACCAAAGCTGTGATCCAGAGGGAACCAAAGCCCTTCCCCCACCCCAGCTCACCAGAGGTAGGAAGAGAAACAGAGCAGGGGAGGGGTGGAGACCTAGGACTGCTGAACACCCAGCCCTGGAGATCTGCTCTGGGAGCATGAACCTACATTACATGGTGCTCTGGAGATTAGTGGGGTTGGAAAGCTAAGACAGGCAGAATACTTGGAGAGACTGAGATTCCAGCTGCTTGTGGAAAACAGGGATCCACATCTAGCTGCTCTGGGATAAAAGAAAGGTGGGCACTCTGAGAGACTTCCTAATGGTGAGAGGGCTGCTGAAGGGGCAACAACTGCACAGAGCTTACTGCTCAGGAGAAATGACAGGTAGACAAAATTGTCTGGGTCCACTCTGCCCAGCCGTTTGGGATCTTTCAGGAGCTTCAGGTGCTCCATGTGCCTGACTGGCCAAGCAAATCCGAGGCCCCCCTGCCATGATACCCAGCCTGCTGCACCTTCCTCCCAGCCAGCAACAGCTTGCAAACTGGCTACCCCCACCATTGCGCCAGGCCAGCCAGAGGGCAACCCCGCCTATGGCAGCTAGAAGTGCAAAGCATAGAGGCTGAGCATGCAGGGAGAAGCCTCTGCAGTGGAGATAGCCACTGCAGCTGGGAAGCAGGAAAGAACTCTTTCCTCCCAAAAGATACCAACACCACTCCCCTGTGACCCCACTGTCCCTCCAGGAGCTGAGCAGCTCCACAGAGTAGAGATTTCAAATATGAAACGGCAAAGGAACTTGGTTCAAACCAAAATCCCACAAAAAATAGAAAGAGGACCAAGTGAAACCGAACTCATCGATCTTCCTGAAAGAGATTTCAAAATAAAAGTCATAAATGTGCTCATGGCACTACAGAAAAATATTTAAGACCTCAGGGAGAAATTCAGAAATGAGATACAAACATTGAAGAATACAGTATCTGAAATGAAACATACAGCAGAGGGATTTAAAAGCACATTAGATGAAGCACAGGAGACATTAAATGAAATAGAAATTAGGGAACAAGAACACAAAGAAGCTGAGGCACAGAGAGAAAAAAGGACCTCTAGGAATGAAAGAATATTGAGAGAACTGTGTGACCAATCCAAACGGAACAATATTCACATTATAGGGGTACCAGAAGAAGAAGAGAGAAAGGGGGTATAAAGTGTCTTTGAGGAGGTAATTGCTGAAAACATCCCCAGTCTGTGGAAGAAGATAGTCTCTCAGGCCATGGAGGTGCACAGATCACCCAGCACAAGGGACCCAAGGAAGACAACATCAAGACACATAATAATTAAAATGGCAAAGATCAAGGATAAAGACATAGTTTTAAAAGCAGCCAGAGAGAGAAAAAAGATTACCTACAAAGGAAAACCCATCAAGCTATCATCAGACTTCTCAACAGAAACATTACAGACCAGAAGGGAGTGGCATGATATATTTAATGCAATGAAGCAGAAGGGCCTCAAACCAAGAATACTCTACCCAGCAGGATTATCATTTAAATTTGAGGGAGGGATTAAACAATTTCAGATAAGCAAAAGCTGAGATAATTTATGTCCCCAAAACAGTCTCTACAGTGCATTTTAGAGGAAGTGCTATAGATGGAAGCATTCCTAAGGCTAAATAGCTATCACCAGAAGAAATAGAACCACAGTAAAGAAAATACACCAATTAATTACTAAGCAGATGCAAAATCAAATCAACCACCCCCAAAGACAGTCAAGGGATAGACAAAGAGTACATATTATGATATCTAATATATAAAAATGGAGGAGGAGGAAAAAGGAGAAAAAAAAGAACCTTTAGATTCTGTTGGTAATAGTATATTAAGTGAGTTAAATTAGACTGTTAGATAGTAAGGAACTTACCCTTCAACCTTTGGTAACCACAATCTAAAGCCTGCAATGGCAATAAGTACATACCTATTGATAATCACCCTAAATGTAAATGGTCTGAATGCACCAATCAAAAGACACAGAGTTACAAAATGGATAAAAAAAACAAAAACCATCTATATGCTGCCTACAAGAGACTCACTTCAAACCCAAAGGCATACACAGACTAAAAGTGAAGGGATGGAAAAAGATATTTCATGCAACTGATAGGGGAAGAAAAGCAGGAGATGCACTACTTGTATCAGAAAAAATAGACTTCAAAACAAAGAAAGTAACAAGAGACAGAGAAAAATATTACATAATGATAAAGGGGTCAGTCCAACAAGAGGTAATGACCATTATAAATATTTGTGCACCCAACACAGGAGCACCTATATATGTGAAACAAATACTACAAGAATTAAAGGTGGAAATAGAATGCAATGCACTCATTTTAGGAGACTTCAACACACCACTCACTCCACAGGACAGATCAACTGGACAGAAAGTGAGTAAGGAGACAGAGGCACTGAACAACACATTTGAATAGATGGACCTAACAGACATCTATAGAACATTCCACCCAAAAGCAGCAGGGTACACATTCTTCTCAAGTACACATGGAACACTTTCAAGAATAAATCATATACTAGGCCACAAAAAGAGCCTCAGTAAATTCAAAAAGGTGGATATTGTACCAACCAGCTTCTCAGACCACAAAGGTATGAAACAGGAAATAAATTACACAAAGAAAACAAAAAAATCCCACAAACACATGGAGGCTTAACAACATGCTCCTAAATAACCAATGGATCAATGACCACATAAAAGCAGAGATCAAGTAATATATGGAGATGAATTAAAACAATAATTCAACACTGAAAATCCTGTGGGACGCAGCAAAGGCCATGCTAAGAGGGAAGTATATTGCAATACAGGCTTACTTCAGGAAAGAAGAATAACCCCATATGAACAGTCTAAACCCACAATTAATGAAACTAGAAAAAGAAGAATACATGAGGCCCAAAGTCAGGAGAAGGAGGGACATAACAAAGATGAGAGCAGAAATAAATAAAATTGAGAAGAATAAAACAATAGAAAGAATCGATGAAAGCAGGAGCTGATTCTTTGAGAAAATAAACAAAATAGATAAGCCCCTGGCCAGACTTACCAAGAAAAAGAGAGAGTCTACACACAGAAACAGATACAGAAATGAGAAAGGAAAAATCACTATGGACACCACTGAAATACAAAGAATTATTAGAGAATACTATGAAAAATTATATGCTAACAAACTGGATAACCTAGAAGAAATGGACAGCTTTCTCGAAAAATACAACCTTCCAAGGCTGACCCATGAAGAAACAGAAAATCTGAACAGAACAATTTTGAATACCAGCAACAAAATTAAATTGGTAATAAAAAAATTACCTAAGAACAAAACTCCTGGACCAAATGGCTTCAGCACTGAATTTTACCAAACATTTAGTGAAGAATAATACCTATCCTCCTCAAAGTTCTTCAAAAAGTAGA